ATTACCCAGTATAATCTGACAAATATCCAATGGAACTACGTCGCACGTGACCTCGTCAATATACGACTCATGTAGCGCAAATCTGATAGTGCATTGATCAACTACACTCAGTCTCTCATTCTTCTGAATCTATCCCAATAGATAGAGTTTCGGATGTTTGACCGTCTTCAGACCCAGCTTCTGAACCAAGGCTTCGGATATCAAATTCTTTTCGCTGCTTGGATCAACAATGGCATTAACCAAACTGGTCTTCACTTGCAACTTCAGCATAAAGAGCTGCTCTCGGGGGGTCTTCGTCCTCTTTCGTGGCCTGTTGTCCTATCATAAGATTGAGATTACTGTTGAGCTATGTCATCCCAGGAATTTTCTTCGGACCCTGTGCTATCACGTATGTATTTTTCTTCTCTTTCTTCTTCAACCCTCGTGGCTTGAGATGAGGATACTTCTCCCAGCACCGATCAACAACATGTCCTGTCTTCTTGTAGTGACTACAAATCAGTTCTGTTTTTCCTAGATCACCCTTCTTCTTCTCCTTATGTTTGGAACCACTAGACTCGCCTCCCATTTGTTTGGAGTCTCCCTTAGTCTCATTATCCTTCTTCTGCTTGCCCTCAATGGCAATAGCCTTCACGCTCGCTTCTGCAATAGTCTCGATCGTGAATAACTTCATCTCCTTTCGGATGTAATCACTCAAACCCGTCATATACTTCATAAACACAGAATATTCCTCCGTCGCAGTGTTAAGAACCATCGCCTGCTGCTGAAACTCCGTAGTGTATTCTTGAACGGTTTGATTGACCCTTTGGCGCAAGCCGTACCACTTGTACCAACGCTCCTCAAGGAATCCCACCTGATAGAACTGCTTCCTCAGTAACTTCTTGAATTTGTTCCACAATACCGCCTTCTTCTCCTGCTTGCAATAGGATTTTCACCACGTCAACTCGTGCCTTGAAAGCTTTAAAGTCGCGAACACAATCTTCTCTTTTGATGAATAGCCATAAAGAGTAAAATACGTCTCCATCCGCTCGATCCAGTCATCAAGCCTCTCGACGTCGATACTCCCATCATAAACAGGAATCTCCACCTTAAAGTTAATCTTCAGGTTCTGATAAGAATTCTTACCCTCTTGATGCAACGCAGCCTTAACGGTCTCCTCCTCGTCGGGATCTGAATCCACTCTCTCCCCATCGGACTCCATAATTTTCTTCTTGGACTTTGAAGAAGATTCATCTTGTTTGTCACCTCCAAGGTTTTAAATGTCGGATGTCGGGTTCATGTCGGATGGCTAAAATCCATGCTGGATAGCGGAAATCGGGGATATATCGGAGGATATTGACTAAATATCGAATTTTCATATCGGGTAGTGCGTATATGTATAATATCATGTCCTAAATATAATCTAAGTATTTATAAATTTAATATAAGCATATTTTATAAATTCTATAGACTAAACATATAAAAAAATAAATAATATATGGATTTGGGTTCATAAATTCTTTCTATCGAGTTCATAAGAAACCCTTAAACATGAGAACGGGTCAAACAGATTTGGGTATTTATCATTAAACCCAAATCCGATAACAAAAAACAGATCTTAAAAAAAGTACCATATCGGCTGATTTTTCAAAGCTAAAAAATAGGCCGATATGTCCGATATGACCCTGATATTTTTGATTTGGCCATGAAAACCGACATACGAGTTGAAAACGTCCATGTCGTGTCGGTCAAGCCCTCAAACTGATATGTCGGACATGTCGGCCGACGTTTAAAACCTTGGTCACCTCCATAGATAAGACTGACGAGTTGTGTGAGAGTCAACCCTATCGTCTCGATCTGTTTCTCCAATGCATCAATTCTCGCTGAATTGTCTCATCCAGCCATCTTCTTCTTCCTTAAAATCTGGACTCCTTCCAATGAAATAAGGATCTCACCTAGCTTCTTGTATTACGATCGAGTCAGGACCATACATAGGATGCCCCTTTCGCAGGATTTGATCGTTCTGATACCAACTTGATACGAGTCGCCGTGCGAGCACCTTTAATCGCGGAATTATCAAAGATGATTTGAGAAGAGGATGATAGAAACACAAGAATAATTCAGTATGTGGCGATGAAAAATACCCTCTTTAGATTATGAGTATGAAAAGATTACAATCCCTCTCTCACAATCTCACTAGAATCGAGAACAAACTCCCAATTCTCTCTAAACCCTAATCTCTCTTGATTAGAATCTCTCTTTGATTACATCTGATTGATTAGAAACCCTAAACAATCTCTTATATAGGTGTAACAACGTGGATGACAAAGTGGTAAATAACCAAGCCCAAACCCAACAGGAATTCGTACAAACAGAAACCCAAACGAACCAAGAAACCTTCGATGAGTCGACTCACGACTGAGATGAGTCGACTCGTCCGAAACTGGACAAAACACAAAACCAGCAATGAGTCGACTCATGACTGAGATGAGTCGACTCGTCAAAGACTGGTGACAAACGGATGAGTTTCGTGAGTCGACTCATGACAGGCATGAGTCGACTCAACCTGATGAGTCGACTCATGATTGTTATGAGTCGACTCACGGGCTGAAAACTGGATGCTTCGATTCTTCGATTCGCCGTCTTATTCCACGCTTCAATCTGCGTTCCACTGTGCTGTTTTACACCTCTATTCTCAAGCTATCATGAGAATCAACTATCCTCAAGCTCCCATGAGGATCACTAAATTCCGAAGAGAAGATACACCCATATCAAGGATACTTGTTAAACCTCTCAGTATTTTGCAACTGGCTAAATTTCAGAAAATTCCCCTAACTTTGGGCGATTATCAGATAACCCCCATAACTTTCAAAATATTAGAAAACCCCCATAACTTTAGGGGGTATCAGAAAACCCCCTTCAACTTTCAATGTTTTTCAAAATCCTCCTAAATGCTGAACTACAATTTTCGCTAGCATAAATATCCCCCTGCGTAATTTTCCAACTCATGTGAAAAATTCACTTAAATCCAGTAGGGGGTTCTATGAAAAATCTTAAAGTCAAAGGCGGTTTCCTGATAACCCCTAAACTTAAGGTTTCTTTTTTCTTTTCCTCTTTTTTTGATGTTTTGGAAGTTATTAAAGTAGACAAAATAATTCAGATTCATGTGATTTTGAAGTTAAGAATTTCAATTGCCAGAAGTACTGAATAAGAGTTGGTTATGTTTGACTAGAATTACAAGAGCTTGTGGGGTGAAATGATATTGTAGTTAAAAGACTTGTTTTATTTGCTTTTTCAGCATTATCTGCAACATCCAATTTTCAATTGGGTGGGGAAATATTTACAGAAATTGCATAAAAATATCAGTAATTTCTATATTAGGAGCGATATTGGCACTTTTTATTTGCCACTTCTTGATTCCCAAAATATCCTTTTGAGCATGCCACTTGTTGCCACTTTTTGCATTCTTGAATACACCTTTTAGTGTTTTACAGCAACAATGTCAGTAATTCTTAATTTCTTTTGAGTACAAGGATCGAACCAACCTGAACTGTACGTCTCTTCAATGTGGTCCTTTGCTTGTTTATTGGAAATTTGGAATATGACATTGATTCCTCCCTCCCACCGAACTCTTGTTAGCGGTTATATTTTTTGGCCCTCATCACCTCCGACCTTCTCTTGCTGGAGTCCTAATCATTGGAATCTTTTTGTCCCTCTCGCTGATCCTGACTTAAACAGGTTTAATTCCCTAATTCCCCTCCTGAGCAAGGATTCTCTTTGAAGTTGAACTCTCTCTCTCTCTCTCTCTCTCTCTCCATAAATGGGAAGTAAGTCTGAGTATTCAAGGTGAGAAGTGAGTCTTGAGTTTGTAATTTTGCCTCTCTTATCACAGAAATTTGTTCCTCTTCATTCCTAAATAAAACAAATGAACCTATCTTGTTTATGCAGTTTGATAAATATGCATTCCTTTATGAGTTTTACATGACAGTGGGGCACATATGTAATTGGGTACTTCAAACAGCCTACAATTAGTGATGACTTAAAAAACTGATATACAATACAGTTTTATCCGTCATTTTTTAAGCTCAGGGTGTTATGTCCTAATTGTGAGTGTTCTTCTGTTTACTGCAGCAGAAGGTTAATCCCCAATTTAAAATTGAAGTTTTATACTACTTTAGAGGCCTAACAATAATAATTTATACAATTGGCACGAAGATGTACCTTTATCGTAAGAATTCACGATTAATTTATATTTTGCTTCAACCTGTTGTAGTTTTCTTCAATTATTTTACTACCATTGTTCATTACTTTCTACTATGTAATTTGGTCTTTAAAATTGAGGGACAGGCCCTTTCACTGCATTTAGTTATTTATATTTATACAATTGTGTTCGCAGTAAACAGTGATTTCATTTTTTTAGAATATGGACCCCCCATCCCCACCCCCACCTCACCCTCAAATTCAATCAACATTTTATTTTGATTTGAGATTTTACCAACCAGGTTGATACGGGAACTGTGGGTGCATTGAGTCAGTGAGGCGGGGAATTGTGTGGATTTTACATATTTTTGGACAGGATCCGATCTTAAGATAGTATGATATAATTGGAATATAAGAAGAAAGTGCTTTTGATATATGACTTTTTGTAACTAAGAACCAAGGCAAATCAAAATTTTTAAGTTGTTTTCCAAATGTAACCCTGTAAAACGTGTTTACGAAAAATAATGTCCTTGATGCTGTTGTTGTCGTTGATATGTAGGTACACTTCACTTCTTTATTCGCGTTTTTAGGGGCGTAAACATTTGCTTGTCATTTGTTGAAAGCAATTTGACTGTGAAGGGAAGTTAGCATATCTGTTATTGACTTATCTGTTTTTTAATCCTTGGTGATCTATCAAGAAACAGTTCTGCATTTCCTGACATTATTTCTGGTTATCTCACCCCTTGTCGACAAAACAAAGAAGCCAACTTTCTGCTAACTTATAGCTATGATGATGACACATTTTATTATGTCTGTGACTACAGCAAGCAATGGCTAACATGGAGCCAGTGCCAGAAAACCTGATGCATGGACGTATGCAGTCTGCTAAACCGCGGGTCCTCTTGGCTGCATCAGGGAGTGTTGCGGCTATTAAGTTTGAGAGTCTTTGTCGTAGTTTCACCGAGTGGGCTGAAGTGAAAGCAGTAGTGACCAAGTCATCTTTGCATTTTCTAGACCAATCGTCACTTCCAAGGGAAGTAACACTCTACACCGATGACGATGAATGGACGAGTTGGAAGAAAATTGGAGATGGAGTACTGCACATTGAGTTGCGTAAGTGGGCAGATCTTATGGTTATCGCTCCATTGTCAGCAAATACACTTGCCAAGGTATATATTTCTTTCTGGATATGGTAGTCGATGTTTATTTCATGGGTTTTCTTTTCCATATATACCTAACCCGTCATGATTTCTATTTACCTCCTAGAAGTTGTCCCTAAACTTTACCCTGTATGTTCACTTTTTAGGAAACAAATCTGGATTATTATGTTAAAATAATTAAATACTTTTTCAGAAATGCTAAACTATAAGTAAATTAAACTTACAAATTAAAATTATTATGGTTAGAATATAATTGCTACCTCTTTCTCTATTGTCCATTTTCATTTTTAACCTTCCAACTTGTGTATTCTAACAACACTAATATGGATTACTTTGAAGTTTAATTAACTTAACTAGCGGTAGTTAAGCCGTTTCTGAAAAATAATCATTTCTTATTTCATTCTCTAAAAAACGTGGTGGGGGGAAATTTGAGAGAGAGCTACAAGTTTGGAGGTACAATTACACTGAGTTTGGGGGATAATTTTAATCCTACTTATGGTTTGCAGGTACATACAAAAA